ATAATAATATTATTATGATTGTACATACAATAATTCCTCTTATTCTAAAACAGATACATCTATTTTGACGACTCCGGGCTTTTGAGCTCCGAATGAGCTATTTGCTCCAAATAAACGAAGTACTAAGGTTGTTACCTCGATTATTCAAATCTTCACGATACAAAAACAAGAAGATTACCAATCCTTAACTCTACCACAATGAATATGCTATGCGTTTAACCTTACGATGTTTTTATTAACATAAATATGTTTCAAATCTTCATTATCTCAGCACTGACGCCTCAACTCCTTCCCCTTTCAGTCCAAAGACAAGTTAATTAGCACGAATAAAAGTCTAGAGGTGACAGTTTTCAATTGCCGATTTGAGCTGCAAACAAGGCGAGACCAAGAATTAATTACGTAGTCGAGTTCAGCCTTATTTGAGCTCGTAGCTCGAGTGCGTCAGCGTTCCGAATGGGATTTTTCGCAGAGAGGGTAGGCCTTTAATGAGCACACTTGACAACAAAGCGCAGGTACTGAGCGTTTTGGCTCAGCCGTTGTCTTTGATATTTGAAGCGGACTCTACAGCCTGTGTTGGGGATTGAAAAATCGGGACTCGGGATTTGGACTTGTTTCGGAATAAGCTCGGAATTGCGATGGAAATACTAATCGGGGATTACAAAGGAAAGGACTAAGTTACATGAAGCGAATAGTTCGAGCAGCGAAATTGTTAATTAATGTTATGATTTTTTTAAATTCAATGGGGAACTAAATAAAACTGTTAAACAAACATAAAATGACTCATAATTCAAGAATTTTCTTGAAAATTAGCGTATTTACCCTAACACATCTTACACGAATATTTTGCCCTTGAGAGAGTTAAACTCCTGCCCGCTGACTTTTAGTCTCACAACCACAAACAGTCGTCAAAATAAACTTCGACGAAGGACCGTGAAGGCTGGAACTATACCAGAGTTGTACCCCCAAATTATTGAAACGCATCCATCCTCCCAAACACCTAAACACCCATTAGCAGTGCCGATTTCGGCCAACCTATCTTAACGTCATTTAAAATTCATACCCATTGTATCGCCCTAAGGCAGCCACCCTAACTGCCTAATAATACGGCCAGAGTGCGTGCACTTATGAAGTGGCTTTTTCAACATCAAAGTATCTAACCCTCAAAGGGGACTCCAAAATTATTTATTAGTCTTCAAAAGGGAAGAATTTGCGGCTTCTGGTGCCATCTTTTCTTCAACACGTCTTTGTTGTGAACATCAAAGCAGAGAGAGGTATTCAAATTCACAGAATCCGTTCCTAATTGAGAATCGGGGATTAATACAATTGTTACCTATACGATACGGGATGAGTACAAAAGGCGCACTCCTTTGAAATTTTTAATTACCGGCAAGCCGCTTTTCTATGCCTTTTCTTAGTGGCTTTTGGAATTGGTTCCAGGAGTCGTCATACAAATCGCAGAGATTAAAGGAGATTACTGACTTGTGTCTTAATTGAAACACGTTTTACGAAAATACATAATATTTTAATGTAATAGTTTTTCAAAGCAATAATACTTTTAGGCTGGGTTGCACCACCTAACTTTGACCGTAACTATAACGATAACCGGCGGTTTTTGTATGGAAATTGACAGATTTTTGACGTTTGTGAAAGTTAAAGTAAGATGGTGCAACCCAGCCTTAATCATGTTTATTTAACCAGCATAATAAAAGGTTTTTAATTCAAGCATGGCCCATAAAAGTATTATATTATACTGTTCCACGGGATATTATTTCGTGTAACCTTAAGTGGTCGCATGAGGCCGCGGTAACAATTGATTTCTCTTGTCTCAATTTGCTGGTACATGAAGGGTTAATCAATATGGAGGAGCTAATGCAATGAAGTTATGTAACTAATGAAATATTGGAAATTCAATATCAAGAAGTTTATTAAAAAAATTGTTAATAACACACAAAAATAAAAACAAAAATTTAATATAATTTTAGTGTTTGAGATAGTAGTCAGATATAACTTTTGAAATGGTATTGTTGATATTTCGCAATAAGATTTTTCTGACTTGTTCTACCAGAACTTGATCATTTCGTTTTCCGTTGGTGTTGTTTAATTCTTTTTTGATTGGTTTATGCTTAGCGTGAAACCCTTTTGATTTCACATTTTTGGCTCGTGGTTTTTCTGTGAGTTTTAAGGCATCTTGGTTCAATTCATTTTTGTCCTCTTCTGACTCGGTAAGTTTTGAAACGTCCGAGTTAATTTCTTCTGTTGGCACGGCTGAGCGAACTGAAATACAATAAATTAATGTATTTTATGGTTATGAATTCTTATGTTCTAAATTACCTACATTACCACAGAATATAGCACAACTATAAAAGCAAATAACTGCTAAATCGAATTTAAATCAAAATGTTACTATTCGTTAAAAGGTTAGACAAATATTTTTAGTTAGCACTAAAATGAATTAATTATGACAAAAGCCATTTTAATTTTAAATTAATTTAGTTAAATTATTAGGAGTCAAAATCATTCTTAGCTATTTAAAAACGTAGAAAAATGAACGCGCCTTTGAAATATTTAGATTTTCGAAATAGTGTTTGGAGGATACAAAAAATGTTATGTAACACAGCATAAAAACATTGATGTAATGTTTACCTGGTCTCAAAGCTATCCTGTTCATAACATCACTGAATTCTCTTGACAAAATATCCACCATGCTTTTGTTTCCATACCATACATCCATAGCGGAATTAGCCACCCACTTCGAAGGCCTATAGTCTCTCCTTTCACTCTGCTTCTCTTCTTTCAAACGCGGTCTTCTTGAATCTCCTTCTAACACTATGACTATGAGAAAGAAGAATAGAACTGCTTGAAAATTCCTTGACTCAATCATTTCGAGTTTTTGAACGAACTGATGTTGAATACTCGAAAATGAGATATTAATGGGTGTTCATCTGAAAACATTAAGCAAACTTCGCGATTGTTCTTTTGACGGTGGCGCAAACAAACGTATATTAGGAAACAAGTGACTCTTCCATGTCTGCTGTTTACAAGCTACTGTTTGCTCAGTTTGCTTGTTCTGGGAAACGAAACCACATTGTGTCGTTTTCTTAATGTGACCGGCCGTCTTGAACAACAGCTTATATTTTACGTAACACATGTAAAGGTACATACACTTATTTATATTTGAGAGACTTGTGAGGAGGCGATTTTTGTGAATTAATCCGTCTTACTTTTCAGGAGTAAGTGTAAACAGGGGCTTAGTGTGAGTTTACATCGAACGTATTCGATATCGACTGCGTAAAAAAATGACATTAAATGTATGACGGATTGTACAGAGTCCCTAGCGAATCATCATCATCATCATCATTTCAGCCACAGCCCTAGCGAATACTTTCAAGAAAATCTTCAAGACTTATTAAAACGTTGAAGTTACTTTTTTCACTGTGAATACCATTTATTTTAGTGCACAAACAGTCTCTAAGCATGTCAATCGATTACAATAACCCAAGCCGTGGGTTAGCCACTAATCCTTTTTGCTAATTTACCATGAAACAAACCACACTTTCACCCTTTGTTTATGTGGTCAAGTTCAGTCATCAATCGGAACGCACAAAATAATATTTTAGTAGGTAAGCAATGTAGGTGTGTTTTAATTTTGTTTAAAATTGGGACTACTTTGATTGTATTTTGATTGTTATTAGTTAGCGGTTACACAACATCTCGTTAGCAGTATCTCGCAAAAATCCAATCCATTTCAATTTGTGATTCGAATTTTAAGCAAAGTGGATTTCCATGGAAACGAGCCCTAATTCAACTATAACTTCACCATACTAGGAACAAATTACACTGTGTTATTATTACAAGTCAAGAAACAGAATTTGTAAGGTTGTTTGCCGAAGGTTAAAACTAAGGCATACTTAACTGTAAACAAGATAAAAATATAAACTTTTACTCAAACATAAAAGTGTGTCCGTGAGGCAAAGAGGCGAAGAAATTCAGTCAAGAAACCTCTCTAATTTTTCGTCCACCTAGAGTCTAGGTCCTAGACCATAGTTGTATTTCCTATACTTTTTCAAGGTCTGTACAACAAACTTCTCTATAATCCTTCTTACTCGACCATCAGATATTAGGATTACAAGCCAGCTAATTGTATTTGTGTTTACATATAACAATGTGTGCATTAAGTATAACAAACATTGTCTCCTTTATCGAGATCTGTCGCATTATTAACCAGCAGTCAATAATAAATAGATCCGAGTAAGAGCATTGATCATTCATTTAAGAAAATATGGATGTGGTATTCTATTATTTTATTCTTTGTGGATAGGCTGATTAGGTGACTGAGTTTCTTTCGCCACTTCTTGAGATTACAAAAAAGGTGTCGGGCTTTATGACCAACAATAACATGTAATACTTAGCAGGTATATTACCATGTATTTCGGAACAAGGATAAGTTTAGTCATAATATTGTCGACTTACTATGGTGATAAAGGGATTTATTAGTATAGTACACATAAATCACAAATATTTGTAGAGTTACAGTATGTAACTCTAAATTTGAAGAAACTCGTCCTTCAATAATTGTAATTTCATCGACGGTCAAAGTGTAGAGTGAGGCGTTGCAGCAGTGGTTTAGAGCTAGGAATATTCCTGAAATACCACGTCCACTTCATTCCTACATCCAAACCGGGACGCATCCCGAATACAATAGCGGTTTGTTCCAGCCCATTTTGTGCTATCATATTTTCCTCCATTATTCAATACACTACCTCAGATGCACCGCCTTAGTATTGCTCGTGAAAAGATCAAGGTAATATGTTTACAGCTGCTTTGATTTCAAAGAATACTTTTAAGAATGTTGTTACGATAATGCTTCTTACATACTCTAGCCTTTAATCTTAAATTGAGTTTCTTATTACACATCTCTGTTTTCTATGGAAGTCAATAATAACAAAGATGCGTGTGTTTTAATAATTTATTGGCTTAAAAGCTAATATCCTAATAATACGTCGTCATTGATGGAGACACAATTTGATTTGTTATTTTTTCTGCAGTTGCTGTTGCTGCTGCTGTTTGCCTGAAATGGAATTAATTTTTTTTAAATAAATCCTCTTTTTAGAATATGGCACGACAGTAACGCGACGTAAGAGTGGTGTGACGTTTCATTATAATTAGACACCGTTGTTCAGCGCTCGTTGTGTATATAAATCTAGATAATTATGTATATGGAAGGGACACACACTCCTTCTGCTTTATAAATTACAAATCAAAAACGTTCCTTTGTAGCATCACATCAATATAATGATAGAACTTAGAAGGAAAATAATAATAAATAATAAATATTTTTTTTATTTCATTTTTATTTAAAAAAAATTGCACCATTTTCAATACATTCAAAATGTGTGATTTCATATTTTACTATCGCTATCGTTTGTACGTGTATTTTTTTATAAATGCACAAATATTTCAACTAAATTTAGCTCCGTCAATTTATTTTAAATACTCAACAATACTGACCTTTTATTTCCACGATCCTGTCGATCGCCCTTGACCCCACGTCCCACAGTTCCCGAGCTATCAAACTCATGACTGTTTTATTCGAGTATATAAAATCCATCGCCTTCCCAACCAACACATCTGATGTACTAAACTCGTCGTTTTCTGCCTTCTTGAACTGTTTCTTGAACTGCTGCACCGTCTTGAATGATGTTATTCTGTCTACATCTAGAATTAAAACTGATAGGAGTAAGAAAACGAATGCCCGTCGCAACATGTTGATGGTAGCGGCATGAATGCATGGCGCTTATTTCAGCTTTCTTTCTTGGTGTCTTCTGGGAAAAAGGCTAAGCTGTGGACAGACTGGGTGAGATTTTTATTTTAGGATTGTCACATAAATTTTAATTAGCTTGTGCCACTGAAAACGTAGTCATACCTTCGAAATCATATTCAATCACAAAAAAAATATGAGTACTTACTAGACGGTATTGTTGATTATCTGAGGGACAGATTTTTTACCTTATACACCTTACTATGATGTTACGATTGCTTTAATAAGTAGAGACTTTTCTGTACCTTATTACGTGCTGCATTTTTATCACACCACAAGTTCAAATAACACAATTAATAATATGCAAATTGATACGTGAAGCTAAATTTCTAGAATTTACATTAGATGAACGTTCTTACACAAAAAATCTAAGAGTTAGTAATGAAAAGTGTTTTATATCCAGAAAAAACATGTGTAAACGTAGCCGTACTCAGCAGAATAGGGTTCCGTTAACATTTTGTTCCATAAAAAATGTTTTAATAAGTCATGGATGGATGGAACATTTTCATTATAAAGGTAAAATTATTTAATTTGGTGACTCAAAAACATAGCTTTTGCTCAATTTGGAGGAACTTCTCGGCATTTACGTATGTCTCCGGTAAACGGAACATTTTAAAAATATAATTTTGTACTTACCCAACGGTTTAGGAAAACATAGCGAAAGCCATAAGACGATTTAATATTTCTAAACAAATTATTTTTATTAATGAATAGAAATAAAATGATATACGTAATGTACGGAATTCTCTGCAGGCTTATGTATCTCGCAATTGACAGTTTTTTATTGTTTCAGAGGAAAAAGTGGTGTGTATTTAATGGAATAATAAGATTCAGCCCAGTAATGTTTTGTATTTCTTTTGCTTCGTATTCATGGAGATGTATTTTAGCTTCAAAAAGTGACAATTTATAAGAGATAATACATGTTTTCTTGAAGCCAAAAAATGAATCATTGCTATACGAGTGTTTATTTGGTCCTTATAAAAGGTTTATTGTTAATATTGTTTTGAACATAGTTACGAGGTTTCTTCATAGAATACAATAATTATAATTTAGATATATTTTTACAAAAGTCTGTAAACGAGGACAATCAGACTTCTATACTATATCAAGTATGTCTTCTAAGAACTTTATTTTTACACAAGCATTTGAAAATACATCCAACTCATTAGCAATAAGTATAAAATCTTTCAATTTTACGCAAACTGTAGACACTATAAAGTAAACAGATGCCAAAACTATGCCCATAAAATGTAGGTACACTTAAAACAATCTCGCGAACATAATTCATAAAAAACACATAATAGTGAAGTTACGCGCACTAAACCACACATATAAACTGTTTCAATTGCATACAGATAAACGGTTTATCTTTGTCATAAACTTCAAACTATAAGTGTTCAAAGTTTTATGTAGATATTTTTTGTGTATGCGGAGAAAAATTTTGTTGGTAGGTACGTAAAATGTCAAAGGTCAAAGGGATTTCAAATACAACATGTTGACTAAGGTTCAGTTTAAAATTCGCAGTTAACTTAACTTCGAGTAATAGCCGGTAGTATGTTATATCAAAGTAGTAGCCGATAATAGCGAAGTGATAGTAAGGCAAGCTATATTTAGAACATGTTTAAGAGAGAGAGTTTATACATTGCAAACAATAGTTTTTAAAATTAAATGCATTTCACTGATTACGAACAAAGAATTTAATGAGAATGTAATTATGGTTTTATGGTTTTAGATATTTATTTTTCTAAAAGAATACAATTATATTCACTTATAAGAAAAATACAGAATACACTTTATAATAAATAAGCAGCAAGTGCACGCAACAGACAAGCTCGTTTCATTTATGTATTAAATGAAACTAGGTACAGAAAATAATGAAGTTAAAATAAAATAAAATAATAACAAACCGCTCAAATGCTATATTTTTTCAAATTCAAGTGTAGTTTTATTCTTAACCTACCCACACTGCTANGTGATTTTAATTCTTCAAAAGAACATCAGGATTAAAAGGCCGTACAGGTAAAAATGCTACACTATTAGGCTGGGTTGCATCATCTTACTATAACTTTAACCAACGTCAAAAATCAGTCAAACTCCACACAAAAAAGCACCGATTATTGTTATAGTACGGTTAAATTTTGGTGTAAAACTCAACCTTAGATTACAAAAGCTGTACTGTAAAAACTTTCCCCATAAATTAATTCCAAGGCGCGGATTTTCCAAATCTGCCTCATAGTTGTACGTACAATGCCTCACCGATTCCGCGACGCAATCCTTTCAAGTCGTCACGGGATGGAGAATCTTGGTACGTACCAGATAGCCTCCAACGGATGGGGGAATTACCGGATTTACCGAGAAACAGTTGGAAAACACGGGTGCTGTAAATAAAACTGATGGGGGTAAGTTTGTGATGCATTTCGTGAGAGAGGCGATGCAGGTTTGTGGTAAGTTGACAAATACTGTATTACAGACGTTCTCATTTTGACCAACATGTTTGTATGTGTGTCCGCGATTATCTCACGTTTGGCTAAACTGATAGTTATGAAGTTTTTTTAGACTCTAGCTGTATTGTGATTTTTCCGTGTATTTTTCAGTGTTACCAAAACAAATGGATATTTTCACATTTTCAAATATTCATTTTGCATCATTTGATAGATCCAATAGCGGAGATTGCATCACAAGGGTAACTACTACAAAATTCTTTTGGCATAAAAGAAATAGGTATACGAGAATCTATGATATTATCCATAGGAAATTATTAATTCTAAAGCTAATGGACAGGAACAACTTTGAAAGCCTTGACGAAAACTTTCCAAAGTAGTAGGTAGCTGACCTTTCGGCATCGGTAATGGTAGTCCCCGATGGTGCCTTTGTACACCATTATTACCATACATTTCCTAGAGCAATGTAAACTTCTTTTTAGTCCCCATAAATCACACACTAAATAAAACTTTACTTATACACTCGCATCCCATACAATTGCTTCCGTCATCACATCTCACATTCATGCACCCCGACCTACTTCCAAGATTGCCAAATACACTGCAAACCTCTTTATTTTCGTCCGAGACATTTGCATAATAAAATTCCCTGAGAACATCCTGAAGTATGAAAAATTCGGCGAACTCTTCTATTATGTAAGTATTTTCGTACTTGTCACGTGCCGTTCGGCACGCTGGGGGTGGCATCCTCAAATTCGACCACGAACAAGGCGTTCCCATTTGCCTTAAAGAATTTTCTATAAAGTACGTTCTTAAATTCAATCTGAAATTGCGGTTCACTGACTCCAGTTTGTTTTTCATTTCTAACAACTAACAACAAAGAAATGTAGTGTCACTAAAAGTAATAAGTTTTGCTTCTCCAAACTAATTTAGATTAGTCCAGTGATTTAGGTCTGCAAATGTATGGCGAAGTAGACACAAACGGGAAATATTATGCTATTTTCACGCGTACAAAGTCGCGGGCACAGTTAGTTGTATTAAGGATAGACCCGATTTCCTTTAACAAAAGTGTTGTTAATGAGATTTGCTATTCTATTTCCTTCTTTTTGAAGTCTTTGAATCGATTCTGCGAATTCTTAATACTACTGTTCAAAAATTTTTTCTTCCGTTATTTACGATAGTGATATGGAGATTAATCTACACAAATAAATGAAATAGATTGTATGTTTGTAATATCCAAAACTTTTTAAAACCTATGTACAAAAATAGTCATTAGAAAATAATAATGTTCGTAATTTTGATTTCGATTTTAGTGTTATGTTTTTTAATTATTTTAAACTTTCGCGTTGGATAATAATTGGTTGTTATTATTTGAAACCTATTGAAATCCACGAGGACAAAACCGCGGTTAGAAGCTAGTGTTAGTTTATAAATACACGTTCTGAAGGACCTTCAAGCAATTCCGAGAATTTCTAATATCTACACTCCTATTGGATAATCTCGTCTTCCATCTTTGAAGTGATAATGTTTTTTGGATCTTTAAATCATTTGGCTCTATCAGGAACATTTTCGATAAATAATAATATCAGAGTGTTTACCATGAGTTTACGTTAGGTGTGCTCGATAGCGATTACTGGCTACTTTTAAGAACTAAAATCTTCAAAGACTTTTTTGGCGCTCTCGCTAGCGAGTATACCCAACGTAAACTTATGGTAAGCACACTTAGCCTAGGTGCAGACCATCGATTTTCGTCGGCCGATAGTTTAGTCGGGTAGTTGATCAGTATGGGCATGTATGGAAGTGCGCACATTACACCGATTTGATTTTGCCGATTCTTCATACAATTTAAAATCGGGCACAACTATCGGCCAACTAAAAATCGTTGGTCTGCACCTATGCTTAACTTTAAATTCACTAAAAACTGTTTCGAAAATTTGATCTTATTGAAAATTTCACTTAATCCCAAATTCTTTCAACCGCTTTATATTCTAGGCTCTATCAAACATTGTAACTTTTGTGACATAAGTTATTATAGTGTTATGTTCCTATGTTTTATTTTCAGTTTTTAATAAAATAAAAAACTTATCTAAAAGAAAAAAATCGTCTAAATAGGAGCTTAATTTCGATCTAAATTATTTGTTAACTGGCCCACTGTTGATAAAGTTTACGTAGACTTTGCATAAGCCCTTAGAAGTTTAAGGTGAGCATACATCAGGTCATTTACTTGTAACATAAAATCTCACCGTTCTAATTAATATGCGTTACAACAACAAGGTTTTGTTAAAACTTGATCTTTAGAAACCAACGAGATAGTTTGATCGAGAACTTAGAGGGATTCAATATTTGAATATGTAGTTTTAATAATACATAGTAGTAGTTTTATTAATATTAAAACTCTCTGTCAGTTTGTTTAAGCCAAGCATTGATTAAATTTGAATATATAAAAAGAACAGCGGACCTTCAAAACATCACGTACATCTAAAAAAAAACATTGCAAGACATTTT